AAGGGAGAATCCTCCGATCTGGTACATTCTTCTGCATCTAGCTTCGAGCTGTCAGTGCGAACAGGTAGCTCTTCTTCAGAGTAGAAAACAACCAACGCAGTTTTCTTATACGCAGGCGATAACCGGACGGCTGGCCAACAGTTTCCGATCAATAATTTGGACGTGCCTTTCTTGCATGACAATGAAAATTTGTGTAAAATTGTCGTGAAAATGGCATTCTGTAGAATTCCCTACATGGCTTTCGGTGGGGACGTTTCTGCCTCCTAATCTTCCTGATCTGTCTGAAGATCTAGTGTAAAGCTTTGGGAGAGGACTTCGAAGTAAATGTGACATATATCGATTTCCCAAAGCTACCGACAGTGTCCCACACCGACGTATTCTGCATGAACGGAAAACTCTTGGCATCAGGCCAATGCTTCTAAAATGGGTAAGCACACTCCCGGTTGGGCAAAAACTACACATGTGTCAGAGATAATGAATCAGGGTGGATGAATGTAACAAGTGGTGTTTCCCAGGAGTCAGTTTTAGGGTCCTTGTTCTTGATTTCGTACGAAAATTACAGCCTCTGTGGTATCGACTACGGTAAAACCCTGTTTGTCGACAACTTTAGGTTCTGGTAAGTCACCAAAGCTCGCACGTTCAGACTGTTATCTAAAATAATCTACACAGACTGCACAATAACCCTCAGCGTTGGTTGTTTTATTTTGATGCAAAAGGGAGTTGCCCCCTAAATGCGTCCACCCAACTACCACCAGTCGACAGTATGAAGTCGTAGCGTCTGAAAGACGTTCAATTCCCCAAAAGGTTTTTGCAAACAGATCACAAAACTTAATAATAATAATAATAATTTTATTTGCCCCAGTGTGGGTACTGTCAACATCAATTTGAAAAATATTCACGTATAAATGTTGGGACAAATAAGCAAACTAGTAAAATGGTCAGTTTTAGTTTCAGTTTATTTGAGGGAAACATAGGTGTTGAACTTTTGAACTCCCTATTTGTCACAAGGAAGAGAACTATATCAAAAATTTGCAAATTGAAACATCAAAACAGCTGCAGAAGTTTTTTTCAGATTGGCAAAGTTTTCGAGACCAGGCAGACAACCGAGTTGCTCCAAGTGTTTAAAAACATTAACGCCACTAAATGTGCTGTACAGTAGTCTGTCTGTGGATAATTGGTGCCATTTCAGTTTCTGAGGGAGACTAGTTGAGTGTCAACACTCAGGCAATAATAAAAACAAACCTTACTGAAGTACAGGCAGTACTATAATAACATTAATAAACTGTTCGAACGAAATGCTAAGACGATGTCGGTCAGGTGACATTATGACGTTTAGTGGTACATTGGTCCAACTTGCGCTTAGAAGCCCCGACGGAGGTGGACATGACGACATCTGCAGGCAGAGCATTCCAAGCCTCGATGACTCTGTTTGAAAAGAAGAACTTCCGAATGTCCAACCTGACGCCAGTCACACGTAGTTTAAGTGGATGACCTCGGAGTTTCGTTGTGGTTGCTAACTCAAGGAAATCAGCAGGTACGAGACATCAGTCCTGGCCGCGCATTATACGGAATGTTTGTATATACAAATGTACTGGTCCGGCGAAAATTTATTGAAAGTACTCATATGCGCGCCAAAAATGGTCTTTTGAAGTGCTCGACGGGCATTTTTGCAATTCCAACAAGGATGCGTTTAAACACATTCGAGATCACTCTTTATGTGCAAGCGTAGGTAGTGGAGTGGCAAACTTCAAAGCCTCAATCCACCAAAAAGTAGTGAATGCAAAGCTGGTGTGCGCAATGAACTGCCGTCGAAAAAAACTAGCACCCACGTATGTAGCATAGGCCGAAGGCAACGGAGGGGCATGCTAGGAATAGAAAAGACATTTCAGTTATTTTGTAGATGTCAAAATTACTATGTGACTGCCACCTTTAAAGGAGGCTGTTAACCGAAAATAGATCTTAAGCCTGTGAGAATCCTGCCCATGCCCAAAATGTGCTGCATCCCAACTCTGAAGGCTGGCTGGTTGGGGAACAGAAACAGGTGGATTGTATAGAATTCTAGTTAGTCTGCTGGCACAAAGAGTAAGTGAAATATTTAGAAAATTAGTGGGAAGCAGTCGGTGGTGGTCGTGAACAAGGAAAAGGAGTTTGGTGTTATTTGGAAGGCGGGCAGGCGTGGCTCGGTGGTGTAGTGGTTATCACGTCTGCTTTACACGCAGAAGGTCCCCGGTTCGAACCCGGGTCGAGTCATGTTTTCTATCGGGGCAGCAGGGCCGTTTTACTTTACTAAAAGCATTGCTATCACGACCGGAGTACATATGTTGACAACAACATTTGGTGAGGTTGATCAGAAGTGTTTACAGATAAACCTTGAGCGTTAGCTTCCCTGCCTCCCTGTTATTAACAGTCTGAGGCCACTTTTACATGCCGCCTTAAGGCGATTATTGGATAACGACTTTAGACGTGAGCTGGTGGGTAACCACTTCATTATATTGCACATTAGACTTCTTATCTTCAATGTATCGGTGGTAGATCACTCGACGACTTTGTCAAGTGAGGATCAAGAGGCGTGGCTCGGTGGTGTAGTGGTTATCACGTCTGCTTTACACGCAGAAGGTCTCCGGTTCGAACCCGGGTCGAGTCACGTTTTCTATCGGGACAGCAGCGCCGTTTTACTTTACTAAATGCATTGCCAACGCGACCAGAGTGCATCTCCCAGTAACATATGTTGAGAACCACATTTGGCGAGGTTGTTAGGGTGAGTTTATGGGTAAACCTTGGGCTGGGGTACCTGTATTAGTCCTCAATCGCAATCGCGACAACTTTTTCATGCCCCCTTAGGGCGATTATTGGATAACGACTTTGGACATGAGCTGGTGGGTAACCAGTTTATTCCTTTCACATTAGACTTCCTATCTTGAATGCCTCGGTGGCTGCCCATCTGAAATATATATACGTACTAGCAAAAACAAAAGCTTACTTGGACGATGGGGAGATAACCCCTTAGGAATAGTTGTACTTGTGTTTAAATCTGATGAAGATTCCTAAAAGGAACCTGTGCCGCTTTGTTAACCTTACCGATGATGATGGAGTTGACGGCAACGATTCGTCGCCCAAGGTATTCCTGCCCAATGTATCTCTTGTTAAGCGTACCGCATAGAGAGCTCTCTATGCGGTCTTTTCGACATAGTTATCTACAACCCAACGGGATATAGTTATTACAATAGTAATGTTTTGGGCCGAAACTAATCTAAGTCCCACAGTACCCCAGCACCATTTGCGAATCTGTAAATAAGGGACCGTTGGGTTGTAGGATTCGCAGATAGTGACCGCTTAGCGGTGGGATTGTCAGTGAGACACTGAAGAACCTTGAAGGTGTGGAAAAGCCGTCGTCGTACGCATTCATCCGTCAGCCGGTAGGCTCACCAACCGCCGCACTGTCAGCTGAGTCCCAACGTCCATTAATTTCAATGAGGACGAATTCCTCCTTCATTGAAAAGCACGCATACTTCTGCACCGTGGACGGCAAACGGCAGCTGTGAATCTCATTCCCTAACCTGCACTTGAAAACCTTTATGTTAGAGGAGTCTATTGGATAATCAAAGTAGTCTTCTATGTTACTATATTCTGAGTAAAGTATTTCGATGTTGCCTGATGCATATCGTACTATATTTCTAATCCTAACTAGTTTATCATCAATGGCCACTGAGCTATCGGCAACTGTAGTACTAATGACTAGGTTACCTTTTTGGATGCATTTAAATTGGGCAAATGTGCCCACATGCTGCGCTAGTGGTCCATCGGTATGTTGCTGTTTACATGTCCACTCCATATGAAGGTGGACATCACTTGCCACTGACTGCAATTCCCCTAACCTACGCACTACTTGTTGTAGTGGCTGGGATGGTTTCCTAAGCAGACGCTTTAATCTGCCTAGGTAACTTTCAATAGGGAACGATGAAAAACTATCAAGCGGACCATGTCGTGTTACATCGTCCGCCAAGTGCACAATGCTGTGGACATTGTACACCATTTCTTTCCTACCGTACAAGGACAAAAATTTATCGACAAACATGCCTAATACACGGCTGCAAAAGGGGACCCACTGTCTACATGAGCGTGGCCGTACTAGGCAGCGTACTGCTGTGAACGGCAGTAGGAAGTGCTTCCAAAACTTACGTGGAAGCACACCATTAAGAACAACTACGCCAGTGTACAACAAGAATTGGCGCAGTTCTGTACCCTACAAGGTATCCATATCATTTAATGACCTAGCGCGCTGCGAAGATTCCCTCGGTAGGTAGGGGTTCAACGCGCGCAAGCTATTATTTATAGTCGACACTGCCGATGCGGACAACCTATATGCACTGTCCCTAGGACTGCGCAGCCGCAAGTTGAGAAGTCTTCTCATAACACCTAGGTAAACCAAATGTAAAGGATCGAAGGGGAAGGAGCTTACCATTCCTACGTTACACGACAGCAATGGCGACACGCCAATGCGGTGGCAGTCATCGTCCCTGGGAAAAAAATCGTCATCTGGCCTAGCTTGTTCGGAGACACTATCATAAACTATCTTATCTACGTACTCCCCCTTAACGCAGCAGCGTTCGCAGTCATAGTAAGCATTAACATTCTTAATCTGCTTAATGAAAGCTCTTGCTGGAGCGTCACAGATGACGGAAGCCAGACGGAAGCGCAGAGATTTGTCACCCGCATCGAGCCGCAAACCGTCTTTATTCAACGACAATAAATCGTCGACGAGTGGTTTGCAGAACGCCTGCACGTCCGAAGGCTTACGAACTCCACAGTATATACCGACGGTGAAAACCTTACTTAATATTGGCTTTATAATTCTGCCTAAAATAGGCCAAAATTCACGCTTAGTCTTCCTATGGATTGGAAGACCATCTATTGCTAGGCTGACAATTACTTCTTCTACCGAAGGGGGCAGAGCTAGATTACGCAACTGCGCGTTAACCTGAGCGGCAAGACCCAAATGCATGTACTCACCACTGGCCATTGCCGTGATCGGTGCAGAGAAGTATGCCGCACCCAACAGCGTTCGTGCGTCAGCTGGGAGGTCCGGCAACCACGGTTTCAATGCCTTCAGCAGATCGTTCAAGTGCGAATGGGGAGCTTTCGACCGTAAAGCCCACTTTCGCACAGCTTCACGAGCGCTTGCATCCTTCTCCTCTACTTCTGCAGTTGAACCAACTTCTTCGTCCGTAGACGCACTGGCACCCTCCAAGGAAGAAGAGCGTTCGTTCTCCAGCGAAGTTGAGGACATAGACTCGTCCGTGACGCTTCCCGACCAACTACTCGATGATTTGTCCGACGACGGAATTTCCCCCACCTCTTCGTTGATTCTTCGTATTATTTCTTCAGTTTCTCTACGTGCTTGACGCAGTATTTTACGCCTACTAACAGGAGTAAACATAATTGTGAGTAAAAGGGGACAACAGAGAACACAACGACAAAGACAGGTAAGGTCGGCACTGGCAGCGTTGAGCGAGACACGGCGTGCGCACTGCAGCGTGAGAAAGAAAAAAGTGGCCCCGGCGAGAGCGGGAGGAATATCGGGCACCGAAGCTAATCGATAATCAAGTGCAAGTATGCGCGGCCGCTTGCGGCCTTCGCGACGCCGGCGCAGCCGACCCAAGAACCAATCAAATCGCGAGCTGGCTAAAGACCCACTACCCCCCTAGAGTACCCTAGCTCGCGGCGAGCTCGCTTGCTATTAGGGGTCCCTTGGGCTACTCAACCAAAAGTTCAAAAGCCTTCTCATAACGCCTAGGTATACAAAATGTAGGGGATCTAGAGGAAATTTCCTCTAGTATTTCTAGAAATACTTGATAAATTATTTTAAAGGGGACTGAAAAAATGTAATAACTCTAAACAGTTGCCTTATTATTCCTTTAGTCCCTTTTAAATGTATTTATCAAGTATTTTTGACATCATAATTTATCCGGTAATTTTATCCTTCTTTAGGTTAAACTTTCTGACAGCAAATTAAATGATACGCTGTAGCGGCGGAGGACGTCAAGGACAGCACACAACCACGTAGCGAAGTACCGGAAAGAGATCCTTGCCAACGTTGATCTGAATACGATTGTTAGTAGGTCACGATACTCATCCGTACATAAAGGAAGAAGGAACGACAAGTGGGCGAGAAGATATAATGAACAGAAAAGGAAATTGGAAAGGCGTATAATAATAGTTAAAAGTACAAGCAGGATGAGTTACAACTGTTGAGTAACCTGTCTGGGTGAAGAGGCGATACCAACATGCCAGCTGGTAAACCAGTGGGAAACGTAGCACCGTGGGCAACTGCAGGAAGGGGCCGAGGGAGGTGCCGACGTAGAGAGAAGGAGAACGGTACGAGCGTCACGATACGATGCGGGGAAAGGGCTCGGCGGGAGTGAGAGGAAGGGGCACCGGCCATCTTCACCAGCACGCGGTTACGCCATCTCCATCCTAGGTTCGCGCGCCGAAAGTGTCACACCACTCGAACAACCCTGTTCAGATCAAGGGCCGTTACACTCTAATAACGATATCGGTTCGTTTGGAACGAAGCCATATGGCTAATGGAATTTTCCCCCTCAAAATGTCGCCGCATGTATTTTGGATCCGGATGGTTATCGCAACTACTGATTTTTTAGGGTATTCCTATGACTGAACGTTGCACCTTCAAGGACGTAGGCTTGGGCCTCGCTAATAATCTAGATCTCTCGACGCATGCCAACTGAATTACCGCCAGAAGTTTCCAGATTTATGGTTTTATTTCTTATGAATTCTGCCTTCGTAAAATTAAGTCAGGGCTTTGTCAAACATTTGTCCTTTCAACCTTTGAATCTTACAGCTCATTCTTTGGGTTGATGAGCAAGTCTACCCGTTTTAAGACTGACAATGTCCAAAGACATTTTAATATAAAATTGTTGAATTCAGCACATCCAAATACTTCCTACCCAGAAAGATGTCAGCTAGTTAACCTGAGATTTTCATTGGCTTCTGCCTCCTTTCCCTCGTTAACAATTGTTCAAATCTTCCTCGGATTTCAGCCCTTACTCCTATTAGTCGTCTGTAAAACACACATACGTAATTCTTCCTTAATCACTCCTCGTCCCGACTCCTCTGCCTTTAAACGCTCTTTCTTCTTTGCTCCCCGGTACATTTTCTCCTGGAATAACTCACGAATCCGCATTAGAAGACGACTGTGCCTTTATCTTTTATTTTCCTTATCTTCCTAAGCAGCTTTTCTAATGACTTCGAAAAAGGGCCACCGGGAATTTAAAAAACCATCGGCTTGCATTTTCTCCTCTGAAAGTGGATTCTCCCCTCATGATCTCTCATCAGGAAATCCGATTTTTTCAGTCTAGTCACCGTGACCTTCACGGGAAGCGACGTTCCCCCGACCCGCTTCTCCGACAAAAAAATCGGGGCCACCTTGGTGCACATGTTCAAAATCGTTCCAGTTTCGCTTGCCGACCGTTTTCATCGGTACTTCATTCCGCCCGTTGAAATGTCGTGTCCTCATCCCCGTTGGCGGTCTCACTCCGGGTCTAACGCAACCTAGCATCCCCATGCTCATTATAAGGTCGGTTCGTTCTCACATTTTATTGTTTCATCTTGCCCTCAGAATGAATCCACATTATTCCCCATATCCCCTCATGAAGTAGATTTTTTTATCCTGACTATTTTACTGGAAGTGCGGGTTACCTGAACTGTCATTGCACTTCCAATTTGGAAGTATTTTTACCCTGCTCCATCCATAGCTCACTTTTTTAAATAAAAACTTCCAATTTTGAATTTGCAGAAATTGTCATCGTAAGTATCATATACGAAAAGACAAGTCGCCGGCGGACGTCAAAAACTTTCCCTCCTTTAAATGGCACAATTTCCTAATTCTGCCGTACAGTAGACCGCTTAAACAGACCATTAGCTCGGTATCGTTGTCCATATTTTATCATTTAAATCGGTGTTGATTCCTCAGTGATAACGCCCCCAGACGCTGAGCAATCAAAATATTGTCATTCCCCTATGAACCTGTGTATATCTCTGATGTTTTAATTTTTCTCATTTAAGAAGCTGAAATTTTAAGCATTTTTTCCATGTTATAGAAAAACTTATTGGCTGTCAGAGCGATCGTCACTGATGATCTTCATTACATAAATAATGATTACCCATAGAACTTAAGTAGTATTATTGTCGACGAATCGTGCGAAAGATCGGGTTTCAAGAAAACCGGAAAAAGGAGGACGCGATCGCTACAACCGGAGATTCGTTTGCATGATAATCAATTCAATTCACTATCGAACACAACAGTGAAGGCATCAACAGACGGGGAATTTGACTTACGGAGAGCGCAGTATTTATAGGACTCAGATGCCCCTCAACGATGGATGCATACAAGGCGCAGAGGACCTAGTTAAGAGGCTAGTCCTCGGGATGCGGCGTACATTCGAGAAAGACCTACTGAATCGAGCCGCAGAAAATCCCAAGTTATTCTGTGGTTATACAAGAAGAAGCACACGAAACAGAAACCCAGTCCCGTTATTGAAAGCTAGTGACGACCTAAAACTCAGTGAAGACGGAGAAATGGCAGAACACCTTTCACAATTCTTTACGTCCATCTTTACGAAGGAAAGCGCATTTCTTCTCCCCGACTGCGACATAGTGAACGGGCCAACGATTGCGTATGTCTCTTTCGCTGAAGCTATTGTTCGCAAGGAACTGTTGACGTTGAATGAGTCTAAATCACCTGGACCGGATGACCTACCGCCCAAATTGTTGAAGGAACTTGATGGATAACTATCGAAACCGCTGTGCATGCTCTTCCAAGCTTTGTTCGAAGCAGGATATTCGCCCGCCGATTGGAAATGTGCACGGATCATGCCAATTTATAAGGGCAGCAGCAAGGTCTTAGCAAACAACTACAGATCAATCAGCCCTACTTCAAGCTGGTGCAAAATTATGGAAAAAATAATTAAGCGATAAAAATTGCACTTCCTAGAAGAGCATAATCTGCTGTGCGATGCCCAGCACGGATTTCGTAGAGGCAGATTATGCGTGACAAACCTACTTTATTGTTTAGATCGTTGGACCCGGGCAGTCGATGGCGGCAATGCAGTGCACGCAGTCTACGTCGACTTTAAGAAAGCATTCTACAGTGTACCACATGAGCGTCTCCTGTACAAATTAAACCGAACAGGCATTGGGGGTAATTTCCTGAAGTGGATCCAAAGCTTCTTGATCGACCGCTCTCAAATCGTCCACGTCGTGGACAGGCAGTCGGCGGAGGTAGCGGTTGAAAGCGGTGTTCCTCAAGGCTCCGTCCTTGGTCCTACCCTATTCATTATATACGCCAACGACTGCGTCAGTGAACTGAGTTGTGATGTCACCATGTTCGCTGATGATGTTAAACTTTGGAACGTCATCCGAACTGAATTTGACAAAGAGCGCTTGCAGGCAGACCTGACCCAACTCGAGAAATGGTCACAGGACTGGCTTTTGCCGTTTAATGTGACTAAGTGCAATGTCTTGTGAGTCGGCAGGACCCGATCTCCGAACCGGACGGCGTACCACTGCAGGAGGTAGACGCCCAGAAAGACTTTGGTGGGTGGATAACGACTTCTCTAAAATCGTCGTTCCACTGCTCCAAGGTAGCCAAGTCCGCGATGTTAGTCCTTTATCTTGACAAGAGAGCATTCTCTACCTTCGATGAGGACTGCTTCGTTAAAGTCTTTCGGACATTTGTACGGCCACAGCTAGAGTTCGCTATTCAGGCGTGGAAACCCGGGACCTCTAAAGATCTCAGTATCCTTCAGAGAGTTTAAAGAGGGGTAACCAAACTCGTAAGTGGACAGGGTTCACTACCCTATAAAACCCGACTATCCAATCTCGGTCTTTTTCCACTGGGTTACGGACAACTAAGAGGCGACCTTATACAAACATTCCGTATAATGCGCGGCCGGGACTGCCGTCTCTTACCTGCTGATTTCCTTGAGTTAGCAACCACATCGAAACTCCGAGTTCATCCACTTAAACTACGTGTGACTGGCGTCAGGTTGGACATTCGGAAGTTCTTCTTTTCAAACAGAGTGATGGAGGCTTGGAATTCTCTGTCTGCAGCTGTCGTCATGTCCACCTCCGTCGAGGCTTTTAAGCGCAAGTTGGACCAATGTACCACTAAACGTCATAATGTCACCGGACCGACGTCGTCCTAGCATTTCGTTCGAACAGTTTATTAACGTTGTTATATTACTGTCTGTATTTCAGTAACGTTTGTTTTTTGTTATTGTCCCATGTCTTTGGAATGTGAGTGTTGGCATTCAATTGGTCTCCCTCAGAAACGGAGATAGCACCAATTATCCATAGACTGACTGGTTAGGCGGTTATGGTTAGG